AACGTGAGAAATCAGTCACGCGTAACGGGCACACGAGTGCGAAGAAAGATTCTCCAAGATTCCGAGCTACTGCCATGATCACGGCGAGAGAAAACAGCTCCAAAATGACGTCCTCATCGACTTTGCTCTCATACTTATTTTGATTGAATTTGTCAACAAGCCCAGCTGTTGTTTTCTAAAACTTGTTTTGGCCCTTCACTTCTGCCAGTGAAAGGGAAACCCACGGACATGTGTTGTCAAGGCTTTCCCAGCGAAGGATTTCACGCACTAAAACAAAGAAGTAGCGGCGTGTTTTCACTCGGATTCTCCTTTAAATAGGGGAAGTTTCAAGTTTGAACGTTCTTCCTTGTTTATGATTCATACATGCTCGTTATTTTGTTCGTTTTACTCGCGTGCAAAGTATTCCACATGTATGCGGCACGAGTCGAACCCAAAAAACGTGAGTCAGTCACCTTTTAATGAAAGATACAAGTGACTCGTGCGCCAACAAACAAATTCCCCACGTGAGGTGATAACAATAGTGCGCCAGTTTCAACCAATCCTGATCATTGGTAAGGCTTCCACAGATGAGGCATCGCCGGTAAACCTTCTGTTTACACGTGAAATACGGTAAATTATTTGGTTCTGACTCTATCACTCTCCGAACGTTTGGTTACAAGCATTGGTTTATGACGGAGATCTTCTGTTCAAAGCGTTCTTCATTTAGGGGAATGTAGCAGTTACAGCCGTTTCGTCGAATACTCGAGGTTAGAAAAATAAATTCCCACAGACGACAGTGCTAGTGACTAGCCTGCTCCAACGATTAACCTAAGTTTTCTAACGATATAAAGCTTAACTTGCTTTCATCTTTTCCTCAGAGAAAATACAGTTGAAATTCAACGAACAAACAATGAGTGCGAACTTTTTGAAGAATTTCATGGACTTGGATGAGTTTTTGGCCGTGAAGGATTTGTGCACGGGCCTTTCTCGAACCGAGAGCGACTATGCCGAAGATGAAGTTGAGCAAGACCTTGCTAACTTCATCGACGAGGAAGATATTCCTTCGGAGTGCAGTTTGTCACAATTCGACAGCAGCAGCACCCCGTTAGCTACACCTACAATTTGCGGTGGAAACAACTCTGACACCGACGAAGGTCGAGGCGAAAGTATCTGTAGCTCTGAGAATATCGCTGCTTGCAGTTCTAGTGAATCGATGTCTTCGTGGAATTCTAACGAAAATTACAAGTCACCGCGAAGGAAACGAAAAGTAAAGCACGTTAATAACGCGGAAAAGGCAACACCAAAAAAGAGAAGAAGAAAAACTGCGGACAGTGCAAAGAAATCGATGGCTGAAAAAATCGACGGGGAAAGTACCATGCGATCAAGAAATGACAGGAAATCCGTCGACGAAGATGTTAAGGATGACAAGTACTGGGAGAGACGGCGAAAAAATAATCAAGCTGCAAAAAGGTCACGAGATCTGAAAAGACTCAGGGAAATGAACGTGAAACAGAGGGCCGATTCCTTGGAAGAGGAAAATAGACAGTTACGGGAAGAAGTTAAAAAACTGAAAGAATACCTCAAAACACTTGACGAAAAGGTCGAAAACTCATCATAAGAGCAAAAACATAACTGCTTGGTGTAAAGAAAGTTTGGAGCAAATAAGTGTGCAACTGTAAATATTTAATTAACTTGTAGGGCTGACCGCAAATAATGAAATAGGAGCCCACCCCCCTTGCTTTAAAAGCAATTTAGCACCCATCACAAGGAAAACATTTGCCCCCTGAGTCCTTGCGTTCCCCTGAAGTAAAAATTTGATAACCAACCCCCACCCCCTGAAATTTTCTATACAGTGTGTGTGTCATTTGTTTCCCCAAAAGAGTTATTTTGCAAAGTTCTGCTGTCCAAGAAAAAAAAGTAATAACAATCTTTTCCCCATGGGAAGTTTCTCAACACTTTATACAGTAAAAAACATATATCACTTTGAAAGAGTTTAAATGAATTTAATCAGTTAAAATTTTTGCTCATTATTTCAAAACCTTGCACATTGATAAAATATTTCAGCCCCAAAATTTTACCATGTAAAAGATAAGGTGAGCACTGAATGGGCTGCCATTAAAAAGTGACAGGGAAGCTCATTTTTTTTGCGTAATGTTGTGTAGTACAGGAAGCCAACATTTTCCACCCATAAAGGAATTGTGCAGAGTTGTGCATAAATAAGTATCTGTTTTAAAAAGAAAATGCCATTATTCTTTATTGAAGTATGGTAAATTCTGAGCAACACCCAGATTTTTCTCATTAGGGGTTTAATTCTAAGGTTTCACAAGTCCTTGTCACTTTTATATGAAAGTTCCCACCTCCCACCACCACTAAGGATGGGCACCTCTCTTTTGTGTGGGAAAGTACTCTAAGGTGTAAAAACCCTTCCATTTTGAATACCCTTACTACATAGGTCTTATGAATGTTAAGTGGTATGCTATGTACAAAACATACTAAGATGTTGCTGTGTTGCCAGTCTATTTAGGCATTCATAGTCATATAGTCATTGTATCCAGCCACTACTACAAGAGATCCATAAAAGTGTAACAAAAATAAATATGTCCCGACCTTACCTATGGTTTTCCTCAGACTACCGGCCCTCTGGGGGATGAGTAGGAGAGGAGCCTGGGAATGAGGTTGATAATGTCGTAGCTTGATTATAGTTTGGAAGGACAGGAATTTAGGACCTTTATCTGGTTATTTTAATTAAAGGATATTTTTGTTTAGTGGCATTAAAAAACAACAGATTTGTACAAGCAGAAACTAAGCACAGTTTAAGTTAGAGTGTTGTTTTAAAAACAGGGATAAAAATTAGTGATTACTTGAACCTCATAATTCACAAGTTTTGTTTATGTCACTTTTATATGATTTTTTTTACAGACAAAGAAGTAGATTCAGCTTCATCACTTCAACTGTTATTGATGTAACATTAACTAATTCATACAGATCTAATACCTTCTCATCCAACAGAAAATATTTAACTTTCCCAACCATGTGCAATCAAAAATCTGTGAATAGAGGTCTGCATGCTGGCATTAATGAAAGATGAAAAATATTACTATTGTATGTCACCACATACAAATTACCTGATTGTGGATACTATATTCAGCCAATAAAGGATACGTTTTTGAACAAGAACTGGTATGAATAATTTAGTGAAGTAATGTCAACCCTTTCACCTCTAGAGGGAATCTTGATTGGAATGTAGAGTCTTTTTTTTTAATTTGTGGGTGAAATCCCATTGGGGGACTATTCAGACAAAACATTCTCAGCAATTCACTTTTGGCAAAGTCAGTTTACTCTATGGTAGCCTCCTAGCGAGCTCTCCATTTAGGGGAGTTGCGAGAAGTCACAAGAGAGCAGCACACAAAAGGAGATGCGAGTGCTTCACCGCTCCTTTGTGCATTCTCTCGCGATTTTCTTCACTCATCATAAATGGAGAGCTTGCTAGCAGGCTAACTCTATAAAAGACAGACACCATCTAAACAGGCACCCAATTGACTGTTTGTTTCTCTACAGTATTATGTAACAGATGTCAAGTGACTAAATAAGAACTTGAAAAGGACCAACACAAGGTGTCCATCTTGTAGATAGTTGACTGATTTATTTGATTTCCTTCGCTCCTTCTTACTAATGAGTCTGTAAAGAAAATCCACTAGTGTGACCATTCAAATGAGTACTTTTTTAACATTTTTGACTCTTGCGTCTGTGGGTGAAATACGCTGGTGTGACCATTCAAATTCATATGATCACAACTCTTCAGCAGTACTTTAATATTGGTCATTACAGTTATTTCTTTTTCAGCATAAAATGCCAAAATTGAAAACTTCTCAAAACTGTCTGGCTTGAAATGATCTACATGTGCCCAACTTGTTACGTTTGGGGTTACAATAATATGTCCAACTTTTCAACATCAAACAGCAAAAGTTCTACTAGAATATTCATGCTTTAATTGCCATGCATCATTCATACATAAGAATCACCAATGCAAGTAACATTCGTCACTTATTAAAATTGCAAAACCTAATCAATAAACTTTTCTGTACATTTTATTGGCTATGTTCTTACCAGGGTAATAATATTAAAATTGATAATGTTGTTATAACTAGTGTGCATGAAAACAGCCACCAGAATCAAGTCTTGTGTTTTACCTCAGCATAATTTTTGTTGTGAAAACTTTATTATTTTCCCATAATAGGCCTTAAACGAAAAATACCATAATGCTCTGTGCTTTCCCTCAAAAATTTTGCATATGAATTGTTCTCAATCATTTCTCTTGGGATGATTAGAAATCACAGGAGAAACTGAAATAAGGCCTATTTATAAGGCAGCTTGTAAATGGCATTTCCAAAATAACAAGAGTTCGTCGAAATTCCCGTCAAAATTGAAGGTGTTTGCCTCTTTATTCCTTTTTCAGTATCATTTTTGGGGCAGTTCTGAAGGTCTCAGACTTTCAATTTCTTTTTTATGTATCTGCTTTGTGTTGTTTCTTTGGAAGGCTAATGAATTCTCAAAATATTGAATTGTGCTTTGTTTGCACAAAAGCTGGTTTCCTGCTATGTCACTAGAAAGAAGCTAGTTACCTTCTCAACTTTTTGGAATTTCAATGGGCAATTTGACTGGAAAAGTCTGAGAGAGTGTTGAATTATTGGGGCCACATTTAGAAGACTATTAAGCCTTGGTGTGTTGCAATTCAAAAAGTGTAAAGTCTTGCACTTGTTGGAAAGAAGGCCTCTGTTGAAGTCTCAAAAAGTCTCTAATTTACCATTTGTCACCAAATAATAACACAAAACCTGCCTCAAATTTTTATCACAAAAATATAAATAAATAAAAATATATTATTCTAAAAAAAAATTTGAAAGAAAGTTTTCAAAGCCACAAAATATTATGCTAAGGCCTGTACACAATGTTATCACTTACTATTACATCCATTTCTTTTGATTTTCAATAAAATATAGTTTTGGCATTATAAAGTTGTCATT